TCCGTTACTTATCAGTTTTTATAAGTATTACTTTGTTATATCACCTAATTTTATATAGTCACAGCACTCCACTAAAACTTTCCGCCATATGACTGCTTATGGTGATCTCTGGTAAAATATTAATTGCATCAGCGTTAATATCAACAATAATAAATCACAACTAATGTAAGTTGCATTTATCAAATAAAATTCAATTCAATATCATACCGGATTATTCCGATATAAACATACGTGCAATCCTTTTTGATATAATATTAAAGAATTTGACCAAGATTGACACAAGCAACGCAATAGGGCCTATCTTTGCTTGTATATTCATAAAAATGCTGTTTCTATCGATCTTAAACTCCTTTCTTGTAAACTGGGCCTCCATTATCCCGGTATTATTGTATCACGCTTCTACTATGACTATTTTACGCGTCCTAATCCATTACCAGGTCCCAACCGATTTCCTTACTCGGAACGCTTTATATAATTGGATTAAATCCTCTCAGTTGGTATAAAAAAAATATTGAAAAAGCGGGTATAATCTGGGAATTTTACATTAGTCACGATCGACATATAGTTATAAATCATGTTAAAGATATTAAGAATCTGGCCAAACTATCAAGATTACGTTTTAGACCATCTTATATTCCTTCGTTTGAAAGATTAGGTCTCCATCATGGACTAATATTTACAACTGATTACAATTTATGGCATCGAAGGCGACAATTAATGATGCGTGCATTGATGTCAACGAAATTTCTACGAAGGTTATTTGTGTCAAAGACCTATTCAAAGAATCCATGGATAGATGGAAAATAAATATAAAAAATGGATTGTATTTTGATTTTTGCAAATGGATGAAATGTTTCATAATGGATATTTCAATTATTCAAACCACAAAACAACATACTTATTTTGTAGCTTCATTTGAAACAAACAATAAGTTACTTTCAATCTGAAGATGTCAAAAAAACATTAGAGTTTACTAAACTATAAAGGATTTTTTAAAACATTGGATTTTTTGTATTCATCCCTCCTTTTATTCTAGATTATGTATCAGGTTTTAGATATTATAGAGAGCGATACAAACGTAATATAAATTTTATTAATGATACTGCGATCAATAATATTAATCAAAGAAAAAATTGAGATTTGCGAATTTCTTTAGAAGACGGCTGGAGGCAAGTTTCAAACGCCAAAGTCTTGGATGCTAAATTTTTAGGTAACTGGGTAATCGCCTTTTTTCTTGAAGCCATAATGAAAATCGGAGAAAATAACAGCTCAAGCACCAATCGCAATCTTTATTTCAATTGATCGTAGCGTTTGGCGTCACCTCAATCACTAGCTAATTACATTGAGGGAGGTACTTGAGTACGGCCTTTGTAGATTAATTTTTTATCAGAATTAATAGGTTGTTAGTTTTGATAAAATTTATTTTGGGAGTTCGACTACATATTTAATAAATATGTGTTGTATATCTAATTAATATATGTTTTATTTATAATAAAAATGACATAATAAAATCATAAAATATAATGGCAAATAATCAATAAAAATATAATAATATTAATAAGTATTATATGATATAGCTATATAAATGTAATATAGATAAAATAAAAGGATAAATAAAAGGACGAATGAAGGATGAATATTTATTTTAACAGAATTTAATTTCTTTTGTGTAATAAATATAAGCTGTTTTGCTTACAGCTACTTTATATGAGATGAAACTAAATATTTTATATAAATGTTAAATATAAATAGTTAGTAACCTTCAGGAATTTCAAGATTTATAAGTTCAGAATCTAAAAATAAATAAACAAATAAATTAAGTAATCAAAACTTAAAAAACAAATCGTCAATATTACTAATATTAAATTTAGTAAATACCTTTTATCAATTTACTAAGTTGATTTTCATAATCTGTTGTGTTTATTGGTTTCGGAAGATTTGATGTTCTAAGAAGTCTACTAGTATAAATTGCTCCAGGATGTAATTTGTAATCAAGCGATGTTTTTGCATTTGATGCTAAAATATTATTTGTTATTTTTTCAGCTTTTTCAATTTGATCAATATATTCAGGATGGAATTTATTATGATACTAAAGCATACATCATGCCATTCTAATACATTAAGAAACAATTCCTTAGCAGTTGGTCTTTTTTCTGGCTGAGCGTTCCAACACTGCATAATTAACTTGGTAATAAATTCTGGTATATATGATGGAATCTTTGGACGTAAACCTTTACAAATTTCTATTGCAAGCTCATAATCATGTGGAGTATCATAATAAGGTGATATCCAGTTACTAATTCATATGCTATAATTCCAAAAGAATATATATCAGATGCTATAGTATATTTTTCCCCATATAAAACTTCGGGAGCAACATATGGCATAACTCCATAAACTCCTCTAGATTGTGAACTTTGATTTGTTGATTTGCATAAACCAAGATCTGTAATATTTAAAAAATTGGCATTATATAAAAGGTTTCCTGGATGAAAATCGTGATGCATTAAACCTTTTTCATGTAAACATATTAGTCCTCGACTAATATAAAGCAATGATTTTATTTTAAGTTCCCATGTCATGCTTTTAAAATTATCTTTTAAATATGTACGAAGGCAACCTGAAGATGCAAATTCCATTACCATAATATAATTTTGTGTTTTTGGGTCTTGAGAAATTCCCAAACATTGAATAAAAAATGTATTATCTTCAATCTGAAAATTCATTTTAATCTGTTTTATATTTATATAATTTTTGTTTAAAATTTTATAAATTTATATTTAATTTTAATTAATATAAATAGTATAAATAAAACTTACTTCTTTTAATAAATCATTTGTAGAATCAGATGATTTATTTAAACTTTTTAAAGCCACTTTTAATAACTTTATACGATTCCATCGATTATCAGTAGTATTCCAACTCTTAATTTTTCCATCAAGCCAAATTGCTGAATAAACGGTTCCAAAACCTCCTTCAGCAATAAATTTTATATTTTTAAATCTTTTGTATGGAATCCATTCAATTACCTTTGATGGTAAGTTTGCAGCACATTGAAGATCTTGAATAAATTTATCAATATCACTATTATTACTACTCCAATTTTAAAATTATCTTGAAAATGGTTTAAATTGCATGTTTGACACCAATTAACTTGATCTTTACGTGCCAAATTATCTTGATGTATACGTGCACATTCTTGATTACATTCTCTACATATTCTAAATAAAATTTGTTAATAATTAGTAATTATAAATATTTAAAAATTATTACTAACATACCCTCCATTGAAATTTCTTTAGTAATATAAATATATAAGTTTTTAAAATTTTAAAATAATATAAATTTATCATAGTATCAAATTATTAATACATACAAACTGGCAATTAATAAAAATACTAGATAATTAATAACTTGAAATATTTTTTAATTAAATAATTATTTGAACAAATACTTACATGCTACAAATAAAAAATATGAAATCAATATATATTTAACTTAAATTCATAATAATAATATATTATAAAAATTTTAATAACAATAACTGGTGATAATTAGCACCAGGGTGCTATATCTCAAAATGTACTAAGAAACAGGAGTTGTATATTAGCAAGAATAATTAAAATTGGAGATGGTTCAGTTAGCTATGGTCTGTTATCTTTTATTCGATTATTATTGGCTATAATTAATTTTCTATATCCAACACTACTAAACAGTAGATTAAAAGTTTTAGACTAGTAATAGTTATAACTGTGGTTATAACTGGCTATAACCGACTATAGCCAGCTATAGTCAGTTACTGGCTAGTTATGACTAACTATATCTAACAAACCTATCCCTATTCAGAACACTTGAAAACTTTATATAATCTAAATTTGACTATTATATCTAACTTCTATCCTGGTTATAACTGCATTCTACTCTAAAAGTAAGGGCAATGATTATCACCAGTTATTTGTACTAAAAATCTAATAATAATTTGACATACTTGCGAATAATTCTAGCAATTTATATATAATATAATCAATAATAGAAATTTTATCAAAATAAAATAAAATTTTAAATTAAATAATACGATACTAACTCTCTGTTTAATTATATAATAAATAATTAAATTATGAATCTTAAAATTATACAAATTTTCAATTGAATTTGATAAAATTATACATACCTGTTGATATCTCTGGACATATTGTGTAATAAAGATATTAAAATTGACTTCAAATTATATAGCAAGCTCTATTTTTAAAAATAACAAATAGCTACTCACTGGTAATTTGATACATAATTGTTAGAAATTATAAATTTTAATTAAAAAAACTAGTTAAACTAAACTTACTGTCTATAAATTAAAATTTCATGCATTATAGTTATGATTAGTTAAAATACAAATTTATAAAGATTACAATACTTTATACTTACTGATCCGCACTTTATTAATTAAATATTATATAATTAGAATTAAAGATATTCAAATTAACTTCATTAAATTAACATATTCTTACATGCTTGTAATATAATATAATGTTAATAATTTAAATTTTAATTTGAAATTATAATAAACCTATACTTACTAACTAATAATTAACAAAAAAAATAACTTAGTTAAACAGAAAGATATAGTAAAGCTTTTATTCCATAAAATAAACCTGTTACGTACTAACTAATAATTAATTTAATTAAATTAGCAAATATTGAATTTAATGTCTAAAAACATCATATCAACAAAATACATACTCCCTAGTATTTTAGATATATAGTTTAGTTAAATGAATCTTTATATCATTATTTAAAAATTTATACATACGTTCTAGTAATTTGACATATAAATAAAAGTAATTAAAATTTTCAGATGTAATCAATTTAAATGTCTAATACTTACGTGCTGCAAATAAATATTTATGCAATTCATTATTTATGCAGGATCAAATAATTAAAATTATATAAAATACTTGAATTTATATATTACCCACTAACAAAATTAAATTAAAAATATTAACATTGATAGAGTAATAAATAGAAATAAATAGTAAAGATTTTTAAACATACTCCCTAATAATTAGTTTATATATTTAATTAATTTGATAAATTATCATATTACAAACATAAATTGCATATTATTCTTACATGCTATCGATTTATACATATATATTTCTAAAAGTTAGCTTTTAAACAACAAATTTAATTGCAAGTTATACTCACTTCCTAAATATTAAGTCTTTAATTAATGATATATTATTTAATAATAAAAACACAATTAAAACTATAAAATTATATACTTTCCAGCTATTAATATGTATAATTATTACTAAATAAAAATTACTCGATTCATTAAATTACAAATAAAAATATAATACTTACTCACTAATAATTTAATAATATAATTAATCTATTTTCTTATTGATAAATTTTTCAAAACTTAAAATAAATACAACTCACGTGCTGATAAATTAACAAGCATTATGTTATTGAAAAGTTATTTATTTATTAATCATAAAAATAGAAATAATATACTTACTTTCTGAAATTCAAATTAAATAAAATAATAAGATTAATGATAATTTTTAAAATAAATACAGAAAGCTTTATACAAACATGCTAATAGATTAAAATATTTTATTGGTTATTAAATTAATTTGCATTTCATAACAAAACATATTATTAAATTTAAAATACTTACAAACTGTAATTTAATATATTTAATTGCAAATTAAAAAATTGCTTAAATGAATTATTATAATATATTTTATCAATAAAATAACTTTTCAAAACTATATAAATTCAATAATTATTACCAAATCATTAATAAAACTCAATGACTCTACGAATAAAGAACTATAATTTGGTAATAAGTTATATATAATCTCAAAGGGTTATTTATTGATAAGAATCCGAAATTATAAATATTTTTATGATCACACTTACTAGCTGGAAATTTAATGTACATAGTTTAATTAAACTATTGCAAAGTTAAATTAAGATAAGAAAATAAAATTTAAATACTTACTTTCTAAAAATTTAGCATTATTAATTTAGTAGATATAAGTATGTTATGAATTCAAGCCTTAAAATAAAATATATATTTACCGTCTAATTATTAAGCAATATAAATCAACATATTGGCAATTATAAACATATAAAGATGAAATTTTCAACTTAATATTGTCATGCTTACCGGCTAATAAAATAATTGAACGAATTCAATAAATCAATAATTATATTTCTTTAAAAATTTAAAATAAATGTTGCAAACTAAATACTTGCTCACTACAAAGTAATAAATGAATGTAAATTAGAACTTCAGATCGTGGGCCGTTCCTTAAAAAAACATCACTTACTTAATATTACTTAAATTATTATAAATATGGTATTAATAGTGAATCAATTATTTGATTTAAAAATTGGCGATAAAGTTTATACCCACTCACTAGTAATTAGTTGGTTAAAACATATGAAAATCTTAAATTTTTAATTTAAAGCAAGTTATAACACTTCTATACTTACTCGTTTGTAACAACAAAGTCAGGATTAATGTCTAATGCTTTGCTAAAATCTGCAAACGATTCTTCAAATTTGTTCATCTCATAATAAACTTCTCCACGATTGTATAATGCAAATGCATTATTCGGTTCAATTTCTAATGCCTTATTTAAGTCCGCAATTGATTCTTCGTATTTTTTCATCTCGCGATGAGTGGCACCACGAGTTCTTAATGCCCATGCATAATTTGGATCTATTTCTAATGCTTTACTTAAATCTATAAGTGATTCTTTATGTTTATCCATCATACGATAAACTTCGCCACGGCTGCTCAATGCCCTTGAATCATTTGGATCTATTTCTAATGCTTTACTTAAATCTATAAGTGATTCTTTATGTTTATCCATCATACGATAAACTTTGCCACGGCTGCTCAATGTCCACGCATCATTTGGATCAATTTCCAATGCTTTATTTAAATCTATAAGTGATTCTTTATATTTATTCATCATACGATAAACTTCGCCACGATTGCTCAATGCATCTGCATAATTTGGATCTATTTCTAATGCTTTATTTAAATCTTGAAGTGATTCTTCATATTTACTCATCATGCGATAAACTTCGCCACGATTGCTCAATGCATCTGCATAATTTGGATCTATTTCTAATGCTTTATTTAAATCTTGAAGTGATTCTTCATATTTACTCATCATGCGATAAGCATCCCCGCGATTGTATAATGCATCTACATCATTTGGTTTTATCTCTAGTGATTTGTTTAAATCAACAAGTGCTTCCTCATATTTGTTTTGTAGGCGATAAGATTCTCCTCTGTTCGACAATACAAATGCATTATTAGGATCAATTTCTAAAAGTTTGTTTAAAATTTTTATTAATTTGTTAAAATCTGCAAGAGACCCAGGTTTATTTATTTTTTGGTATATATCACTCCGAGTCAGTAATGAATCTACACTATTTGGACAGATTTCTAATAATTTATTTAAATCGGCAAGTGATTTTTCTATTTGTTTCATTTTATAGTAAATAAATCCACGATCTTCTAACGCACATAGATAATTCGGTTCCATTTCGATCAATT